ATAAAGAGGTTATATGAATAAAGTTCCACACCAGTACAAATATTAATTAGATTAGCCATCATATCAATCCTTTGCAATAATAGAACCATTGTTCAATATCATTTTCAATAAAATTTCGATTCAATACAATTGTCAATAATTCATGTTATCTAAGTAGCATTACACACTCAATGACAATTTATGTGGAACATCTAATAGAGTAACAATGTATCAATAACAATCGGACCTCAAGGGTCGATCAGTGGGACCGCAATGGGTCGATCAATATATCTTATCCAATGTGACTATTAAGGTCTAACTATAGAGATCTCTGTATTTCAATTATCCAATAGGCCACAATATTGTTTCCCCTGGGCAAGGGCCAATGAGCCATGGTATTTATTTCCCCCATGCAAGGGCCTCTTTATCAATGGGCCATGGTATTATATCCCCCACACGAGGGCCTATTAAGCAATGGGCCATGGTATTATATCCCCCAGGCGAGGACCTCACTAAAGGATGCCACGAATACGTTTTCAAAAGGGAACTTCATTCATTCATAAGAAACTAAAGTTTCAAGAAACCATTCGATGAACAATAATAGGTTTGATCAATCATCATGACGTTTCAATAAGCCATTCATTTCAATAAGCCATTCAATCATTCATATATCAATTTTGATAACAATAACATTTTCAAAAATAAATATAACTCGGACATATCTTTATAGAGTTATTACTCATAGTGGGTTACGTTATCACTAGGCCTCAAATGTCCACCTATACAAAACACATAACAAAAATGCAATTGGAGTACCGTTTGATAACCATGCTGCTTTAATTAAAATTTTATCATGTGCTTATAACTCGTTCCATGTTTATGTGAGCTCAATTGGTGCCTAAGAGTACTTGAAATAACATGAGGATGCAAGTATGCACTTAAAAGAGTTAGACAATGAAACGCCCCAAATTTCTAGCCCAAATGATAAGACAACATTGATGGCTCTTTCAAGGAAAACCGAATATAAATCTTCAAACTTATATTACATGATATAATAGTTCTTTATGCAACAATACATTAATCCAACAACAAGTAAATAAACAAATAAGTACCCCCAAAGGTTTACAAGTTTCCAAGGCTGGTTACACAAAATGGTTATTCAAACCCACACAAACACAGCCCTTGGCTTACACACAGAGTCACAGGAAAATGAGAGCATTGTACTCCCAACACACATACTTCCATGTCCCTAGTTGGATGGGATCACCACATCTTTTCCTGCACAAAAATCTCATAGAGTGAGCATAAAGCCCAGTAGGAAATTCTTAACAAATTATATACATTTTATACAAGTCTCAAGAGATGAAATGCGCATGCCATGCTATGCCCTTTTTGAAGATAAATCACATTTTCATCTTTTGAAAATCATCATGCTCGATGATATCATGCAATTTCAATTGTTCAAAACTTAACAATTTATTTCAAGAGCGGTAAATACGACTCTGGTAATCCCTAGGTCGTTGTCTGGAAGTAGACTATACAAGTACTACCAATTTGTCATTTTTACCGGTATTAATCGAAAGGCTCAACACCTATCCGCGGGGGTTTTCAGTCTTTCACCTCGGACTCTCAGGCCACCTTATTTAATATCATCTATACCACCTATCAAGACTTACCAACGAATTTACCCCAAAACCATTTCATGAAAACTTGTTTCTCAAAAGTGATCTGAAATATCAAATTCACGAACTGATATAACATGGTCCGCTCGAGCGTGGAAAGCCCCGCTCGAGTGTCAAATACACTTTCCCAGTACTTTTGCAGACAGGTCAAACTTCTGGAACCAAACATTCTCCGCTCGAGCGCATAAACGACCGCTTGAGCGAACAAGTAACTTCTAATACATTTTGTATTTTTGCTCCGGGGTGTTGCCCCTCAACCTCGCCAGGGCGCTGCCCTAGGACCCACTAAGGGGCGCTGCCCCTTGGACCCCCGCGAGCTGACCGGGCAACTCGATCCTCGACATACTCACCAAAGTGGCAAAACTAGGGTCCCTACAGTCAAACTTTGCTAAAAACAAGGTCTCCGCTCGAGCGTAGTTTCCTCCGCTTGAGCGGGGGTTAAAAAATAAGGGTGGTCACTCGAGCGCAACTTTTGTCGCTCGAGCGGTCTATAAAAGTACTAGTTGCATGTATTTTTTGCTCGATGGATGCTTGATGGTCGCTCAAGCGGAAGACTGAGCAAAAAATGCCTTCGCTCGAGCGGTCTGCAAAATTTTGTAAAACTTCTAAGAGCTCAATTTTTACACCCAAGTGACACTTTTTTCGCTCGAGCGAACAGGCCAAATTCTGGAATTTCCAGAACTGTGTTTGCAGTTCAAATTTGATATACAAAGGTCCAAAACTTGTATTTTTGGTACAAAAACATAGAAAAACATTTTAGAACTTGGAAATGTAGTCAATTTGAAACCAATTGCTCAAAATCATGGACCCAATTCTCAAAATCAAACTTAAATCATGATGTTGGAACCATGCATAACATGTATTGCCCCCATTTCTTTTCAAATCCTTTCAAGACTTGATCAAATGGCATGACAAGTGTAAAAACATGAAGAACTCTCCAAATAAATGTGTAGAAGTCCCATGCATGTAAGAATTCATAGAAAATTAAACTCTAAGATGAAGGATTATGCATTCACGTATGTAATTATACTCAATTCTTCCATAATCAAGGCAACCCTTTCTACTTACATACAACTAGACTCATAACTTCTTGAATTCATGGCCTACATGTTTTATTTTCAAGATTTAAGGAGGAATTCCATAGCTAGGATGTGAATTCAAGTGTTGTCTAGCTCAATTCTTCAAATCTTCCACAATTTCCTTCAGATTCCCCTTTCTCTCTCTAAATGTAGAGCTTAGCTTCCTCCTCTCTCAAAATCTCAGCCCATGTGTTTATATAAGTGAGTTCAAAACATGTGCTAAGCTTATATAGGGTGTAATTAACTTAGCCTAATCAAAGTTGATTAAGGTTAATTAATTTGGCTCATTTCTAACTAAGTTCAATCAGTTTAGTTTAATTATTTTGGTCCGAATCAAATTTTGACAAAAGTTTCCATAAATTTCTAAATATTCTAATTAGTCTATTGGGCTAGTCAATTTTAGTTTCTGAAGCCGTTCAAGCTTTCAATTTTTCTAAGTCGATAAGTGAACATTAATTAGGCTTAATTCTAACTAAGTTCAATCAGTTTATTCTAATTATTTTAATCCGAATCAAATTTTGATGAAAGTTACAATAAAATTCTAAATATTCTAATTAGCCTATTGGGCTAATCAATTTCAGCTTCTGGAGCCGTTCAAGCTTTCAATTTTTGATTCTAAGTCGATAAGTGAACATATATTCCAAGTAATAACAGATAACTACAAAATTAAGCATGTAATCACACAATCATGCAATTAAACTTATTGAATCGATATAATATGATAGCACGGTGGTCGAGGTCATCACAATCTCTCCCCTTTAGAAAGTTTGGTCCTCCAAACTTAAGTTACCTTCAAACGGAAACAAATGCGAATATCGTTGCCACATCTCATCGTCTTTTTCCCAAGTGGCCTCTTTGCCATAATGGTCTTTCCACTCGACCTTCACCATAGGGATAAGTTTGTTTCTCAATTGCTTTACTTGTCAATCAATAATTTGCACGAGCCATTCTTCATAAATCATATTCTCATCTAACACAATACGATGGTGGTTAATCACATGGAATGGATCTCTAAGATACCCACGAAGCATGGACACGTGAAAGACATTATGCATTTGTTCCATTCCAGGTGGCAAGGCGATACAGTAAGCAACAGGACCCAACCTTTCAAAAATTTGAAATGGCCCAATGTAGCGAGGATTCAGTTTTCCCTTTTTGCCAAATCTTATTTGTCCTTTCAACGGTGTTACTTTGATAAACACATGATCCCTCACTTCATATTCTAAGTCTCGTCTTCGCTGGTCCACATAACTTTTCTATCGGCTCTGTACAATCTTAAGCCTCTGCTGAATGATTTTGATCTTTTTGGTTGTTTCTTGCACAAGTTTGGTACCATAAATAGCCTTATCACCAACCTCTGTCAAACAAATTGGTGATCTACATTTTCTGCCATATAGTGCCTCATATGGTGCCATACCAATGCTAGCGTGAAAACTATTCTTATAAGCAAACTGGGCCAATGGCAAATACGTTTCCCAGTTGCCCTGAAAGTCCAAAACACATATACGAAGCATGTCTTCTAAGGTTTGAATAGTCCTCTTGGTTTGCCCATCAGTTTGTGGATAGAATGCTATACTAAATCTCAATTCTATTCCCATTACATCCTGTAGACTATGCAAAAATCTAGAAACAAATTTAGGATCTCTATCTAATACAATGGACAAATGGACACTAGAACCCCATGCAATCGAATAATTTCATCAATATAGACAGTAGCAAGTCTATATGCAGTAAAAGAAGTCTTTATAGCAAGAAAATGAGCAGACTTGGTTAGTCTATCAACTATAACCCAAATAGCGTCCATACCTCTAGGCCTTCGAGGTAGGCCAACAACGAAGTCCCTGGTGATATGTTTCCATTTCCATTCCAGAATAGGGAGTGACTGAAGCAAGCCTGTCAGTTTCTGATGTTCCGTTTTCACTTGTTGATGTTGTAAGCACTTAGAATTGAAGTCGGCAATCTCTCTTTTCATGTTGGGCCACCAATATACTAACTTCAAATCATGGTACATTTTTGTGTTTCCTGGATGCATGGCAAACACTAAGTCTGCTTCATTAGGAATACATAACCTCCCTTGAAATTTCAACACGAAATTTTTACTTGTGAACCCCGGTTTAGGCTTGGTGTCAAATTCATCATAAATCTTCTTCAAAAACTCATCATTCTTTTGCTTTTGTTTGATTTCTTCAATAATTGCAGGCTATGCGGACATTGCAGCTATCAAGCTATCTTGTTCAAAAGATACCACTTTAATTTCAAGTCATTCAAACTCTAATAGTAATTCTTCCTGATCCGTGAGCAAACAGGCTAGATTCCCCACATTCTTTCTACTGAGTGCATCTGCTATAGTGTTGGCTTTGCCTGGATGGTAGTGAATTTGTAAGTTATAGTCCTTGATCAGTTCAAGCTAGCGTCTTTGTCTCATGTTCAATTCCTTCTACGTGAAAAAGTACTTTAAGCTTTTATAATCGGTGTACACTTCACATTTGGTTCCATACAGGTTGTGACGCCATACTTTCAATGCAAACACAACTGCAGCAAGTTCTAGGTCGTGCGTTGGATAGTTTTTCTCATGTGGTCTCAGTTGTCGGGAGGCATAAGCAATCACCCTAACATTCTGCATTAAGACATAACCCAAACCTTTTTAAGATTCATCACTATAAATCATAAATCCTTCCGTACCTGAGGGTATAGTGAGGATTGGAGCTATGGTTAATCTTGTCTTTAGTTCTTGAAATGCAGATTCTCTTTGGTCGGTCCATTCAAATGGTTCTCCCTTTCGAGTCAATTGAGTCAATGGCACTGCAATCTTTGAGAAGTCTTTAACAAACCTCCAATAATAACCAGGCCATCCCATAAAACTACGAACTTCTGTTACATTAGTTGGAGTATGCCAATCAACAATTGCTTCGATTTTCTGACGGTCAACTGAGATACCGTTTTTGTTAATAACATGCCCCAAAAATGTTACTTCATCAGGCCAAAACTCACACTTCTTTAATTTCCCATATAGTTGCTTTTCTCTAAGTGTTTGAAGAGTCATTATCAAATGTTGTTCATGCTCATCCTTACTTTTTGAATAAATCAAAATGTCATCAATGAAAGCAACAACAAAATCATCTAAGAAAGGTTTGAAAACCCTGTTCGTCAAATCCATGAACGCTACGGGTGCATTAGTGACTTCGAAAGGCATGACTAAAAACTCATAATGTCCATACCTGGTTCAAAAAACAGTCTTTTCAATATCTTCAGCCCTAAATTTCAATTGATGATAGCTTGATCTCAAGTCAATTTTTGAAAATACTTGGGCCCTCTGCAACTAGTCAAATGAATCATCAATACGTGGGAATGGATATTTATTCTTCACTATTACCTTATTGAGTTCTCTGTAATCAATACATAGTTAGAGGGTTCCATTTTTCTTCTTCACAGAAAGAACCGTCTCTCCCCACGGCGAAGTGCTTGGATGAATAAATCCCTTATCAAGCAATTTCTGCAACTGAGTTTTCAATTCTTTCATTTCCATAGTGGACATATGGTAGGGAGTTTTAGACATTAGTTGTGTGCCCGATATTACATCAATTGTAAATTCAATCTCTCTATCAACAACTTGGCCAGGTAATTCATCCAAAAACACATCAGAAAAATCTCTTACCACTGGTATATTGTCTAGAGTAATGTCTATAGTTGGTTCGGTTATTACACTACACAAATACCCTCGACAACCCTTTTTCATTAGTTTTTGGGTTTTCATGGCAGATACAAGGTATGGTGGTGGAACTACCCTTTTTCCCTCGAAATAAAATTCATCTTGTCCGAGAGGTTGGAATATCACTCATTTCAAAGCACAATCAATAGTTGCATGATATTTAGCTAGCCAATCCATACCCAAAACAACATCAAAACGTCTCATGCCTAAGGGTATTAAATCAGCATACAAAATAGCATTCCTGAGAAATAATTCACACGTAGCATATACAGTTGAGCATAACATGGATCCCCCCTGTTATCCCAGGTAGGCAACCCAAGAGGAAGGGTGAATTGGGTTATTAAAAATTTTACAATATTAAAAAATAATAAACACAATATTTAGAATTTTAACAAATAAAAAAACAGAACAATAATTATCAATATAAAAGTAAGAGAGACATGAAGAGAAAATTAAACACTGAGATTTATAATGGTTCAGCACGCCGGGCCTACGTCCACTCCCAAGGAACCTCGTTGAAAATTTCTTCACTATCAAAATGAATTAATACACCACCAAGGCTTCACCAAGCTTGTGGATTTTGTACAAGTCTTATTTTTAACTATTGAGCCTCACACAACAATAAATTCCTCACTCCTACAAAATTCCTTCACAAAATAATAAATAAGGATAAGAGGTACTTCAACCCTCTTTTACAATAATTCTCTCATAAATAATAGACAAGAAAGTGTAAGAACAAAGACTACACTTAGATTTGAAAGTGAAAGAGCAGAATACACTTAAAATTTTGGAGCACACAGATTTTTCTCTTCAAGTTCTTAATTTTTCTCTACACAAAACTTCTATTTATACACAAAAATATATCCGTTGGAAGAAGAGACGGTCCTCAATAGAATAGCCTGTGGAAAAGCAGCTTAGCACACATTTTCTTTGTCAAACATTATATTTTCTTTGTCCACTTTTTCTTTGTCAAAC